AATCGACTTAACCTCTCCTCATATGAGAGGGTTGAGAAACCCTTTATTAGCCTAGTTCCTACTCTTTGCAACCTTTCTAATAAGTCTATTTCGTATTTGAAACTCGGGCTCGCTGCATGGATCCCATATTCCAATGAGGTCTGATATAAGTCGGATATAATATACGAAATATTTCAGCGTCAAAATTCGCAAAAGCCTTGCGTATGGCCCATAATATTCGAAAACCCTTAGTGGCTGCAGCTCTACAGTTTGTTGCTGTTTTCAAGTCATGCTGCACAACCACTCCCAAGTCCTTGTTTTTAGTGACCACTGGGAGAGTAATGCCATTCATTGAGTAATTGTGCATGTGACTATGAGATACATGCATAACCATACTCTTTCTTAAGTTAATCTCCAAGTTTAAATCTTCCTGCAAAGCAAGTTGATCACTGTCATCGTTTAAAGTCCTTCATATCTTGATGTCATCAGCAAACAGTAAGCAGGACGACTTAACTACCGATGGAATCTCATTAACATAAATCAGGAAAAGAAGTGGGCCTAGTATTGTACCCTGAGGAACGCCACTCTTAAACGATTCCCATGTTGATAAAACCCCGTTAACTCGTACTCTTTGTCTTCTGTCCTTTAGAAAAACTTGAATCCTGTTGGCAACCACTTTATTGATTCCCAGACTACCTAACTTCACTAGAAGACCTGAATGAGAAACCCTGTCAAACGCCTTGCTAAGGTCGATGAATATGGCATCCACCGGTATATTAGCATCAGCTGGGCTTGCCCAACTTTCTCTGGCCAAAAGAAGGTTGGTCAAGCAAGAATGACCTGCTCTAAAACCATGCTGTTCCACAGCGAAAAGTTTGTTCCCTTCAATGAACTGAATGATAGCATCACGAATTATCCTTTCTAGTAGTTTAACAACAATACTGGCCAAACTAACAGGACGATAGTTCTGAACTAAGTTTCTAGATCCGGTTTTGAAGACCGGACTAATGATGGCATCTTTCCAGTCTCTTGGATATTTAGACTGGTCCAGAGACATATTGAAGATTACCGACAATGGCTCGGCTATGTTTTCAGCCAATGCTGTTAATATACGTCGGTGGAGTTCATCAGGGCCACTGGACTTACCAGGATTGAGCCTTAGAAGCCACTTTAGGACAGTATCCTTTCCAATGTATAAGGGTGCCATTTTCAAGTTACCTTCTGGAAAAGTTACGAAGCTGGTATCAATATTATCAGAGAATACTTGACTAAAGTGCTTGGACAAAGCCTCAGCCTTAGTCAAGTTATCCTCAGCCATGTTTGTCCGGTCATCTTCAAGCATAAGAGGTGGGATAGCATCCCTCTTACGTGTTCTTCTCTTGATATATGAGAAGAGTCTTTTTGGGCAGCCTGGTGAACTTTTAACTAACTGGGTTTTGTAAGCTATCCTTGAATGGTGAATCAAAGTTTTACACCGGTTTCTGGTTTCACAGTATTTCAGCCGGAACTGCTGTAGCCCAGTAGAAACAAAGAGATTCCAGAACCTTTTTCTCCGTCTTAGGAGTGTTATACCTTGTCTATTTATCTATGGTGGTCGATTTGTTGGCCTTTTAGGAACCCTCCAGGGAATGAAGTCAGTGGTAACCCTCTCAAGTGTATTCTTAAATCTATCCCATTCATCTTCAATGGATGAGACAATATTGACTGACCAGTCGGCAGTTGAAGCACGCTCCTTCATAGCGACTATGTCAGCATGCCAAAACACTAGGTCGGGATTTGGGTTGAAAACTGACTAAATTGCCAACCCTTAAGTTAAAATCTAACACCCCATGATCACTGTTTGCTAGAGGTGGATGAATAACTAGACCATCCACGTCATCGTTGTGATGAGTAAGCACTAAGTCCAGCAAGGAAGATCCTTAGATAGAACCGAATCTTGTAATACTTAAGACATGTTGTGTCAGGGCATTTTCCATGGTAGTCAAGAGTAATCGGCTGTCAAACTTATTAGCGGATCCTGGAGATGAGACAGCTACCCAGTCTATATGAGGTGCAATAAAATCACCTAGAATAAGACAGCTGCTGTGTTTACTCCATTGTTTGAGGTGATCTAAGATAAAGTCATCACACTGACAATAGGGACTTCTATACAGAACTCCGATGAGTAGAGTGCCAGTTGCAAAGCTTACTTCACAGCTAATTACCTCACTTGTCCCACTGTCATGCACTTCAGATTTCACGGAACGAACATGTAGGGAGTTGTTGATGTACAGAGTAACCCCGCCACCTCTACGACCATTAACCCTGTCGCTGCGCAAGCAACTACATCCGTATAGCTCAGGGGTGTCATCTAATCCAGAAACCAGCCATGTTTCAGTAATGGCCACAATACCTGGGCTAAGGTCTTCCACTAATACACCTATCTCGTGAAATTTGTTCCCGACACTACGTATATTAGTGTACACAACCTTCAGACTTCCTATACGGTCCGGCTTATCCACACAGGTCTTGGAAGCATACGTTTCCAAGACCTGACTATTTAAAAACCCACCAGTTTAAGGTTAGTCTCACCATTTTTACGTCTTGTTTCAAGCTGGGACAAAACTTCTTTTCGTTTAAGTCTGTCTTCAAGAGATAAATCAGGTCTGACTGAAATTCCTGCACCGGCAAGGTTGTGTACATTAGCCAGTTGATGATTCCGTTCATCAGGAGAACCTAAGACTACTTTAAGCAACCTACGCTGATTAGAACATTCATCATCTCTTTTGCCTATTCTAATCAGCATTTTAATCGATACTCCAGAGAAATTCGCTGGCAATGAATCCTTCTGACCAAAATCACTTATCTCCATCAGAAATTATATCTGATCGAGAGTCAAGACTGTCCCTGATGCTTCTAAGTTTGGGCGAATAAAACAGCGCTATAGGTTTATGAAAGTTTAAGGCAGTTTAACTGTCAGTTTTGCTATACGGATCAGAAACTTGGCGGGTCACAAAGAATATTTTCAACAGGTTGCAGACCTTTATCAACAACTGTCTTCTCTCTATGCTGAAGATCAGATGGCCGGAAAGAACCACCAACAAGAAACTATGGGAACAAACAAAACAAGAACCAATCCCCAAACAAATATGCAGGAGAAAGTGGAGATGGATTGGACACTCGCCGAGGAGGCCGTCGGGTGACATCGCGCGTCAGGCCAGTCCTTGAGTGGAACCCAAAAGGGAAGTGGCGAGTGGGACGTCCAAGGGTGACACGGAAGAGAACGTGTGAAGAGGAGTTGAAACAGTATGGACTATCATGGATGCAAATGAACAGTAGAGCAGAAGACAGAAGCAAGTGGAGGCGTGCAGTTGAAGCCCTATGTTCCACTAGGAACCCAAGGGAACAATAATAATCTATAACTGTCATCGTATTGAGCGTAGATTCTTTGGGTTGAACCAGCATTTACTTAACTCTTGTTGATCATCCGCGAAACGGACGTTTGTGTGAGCAGTAAGAAGAACAGGAGGTGTTTGGCACAAAGCAGAAGTACCAATATTGATTTGAAACGGACACACCAACCATATACCAGATAAATCGGAGAATTTTAAAGCAAAAATAAACTAGACTTCATGGCATAAGTTTCAGAGGATGTGTCTAGGTTTCCGCAAACAGAAACAAACGATTGATGTAGGACATCAAATACTGCCACTCCATACCGATTCGAAAAATAGGACCTAGACCTTTTCAGTGAAATTTCCGAAAGACTGATACAGGTATATAGGGGATGCGATAAGAAGCGAACAAACCTAGGGTGCAGAAGTAGAAAATTATTTATTCTGATCCTAGATTCACGTTGATACTTAGATATGTTAATTTCATTGTACAGTCTTTGACCTCATACGGAATCCCTGACTATGTACAGCTAGATGTTCGGCATTTTGGAACCCATACGGTTTGTTTATTCACCTACTGACATGTCGTAATTTTAGATATGTTGGAAGCTATGTATAAAGTTATTTTGCATGGCAAAGTTCTCCTCCTAGTCAGGGACAAGTCTTTAACTTCCTATATGGACATAGCTCAGTCAAACAGAAGCACTCCGACGGAGAGTAGTGGTATTTGAAAATCAAAATAGTAGCTTTGTACAGAAGTGCTAATTCACCTGGTCACCACGAAACCCCTATAGAATCGTGGCAAGCAAAGATTGCAAACAAGAAACGCCTAACGGTCTGAAAAACGTCTTTGTACATCTTTCATTCAAAGAAGAGGAAGAAGTATCCTAACGGATTGCTAACGAAAAGAGAAAAAACATTTTTGCAAGGGTAAAACCTACGACAATACACTACATCGTATGCTTAATTTAACCGTCAGAACTATAAAAACGCCCTAGTGATGCCACCTCCCAGTATGTTTACAAAATTTATTTGCACTTGTGGTGGTTAGTTGATTGGAAGAAAAAGAGGAGGGATTTTTCGCAGTTTAATGAGCTTACCTCAAGGATTTCGCCCGTGAAGGAGAGAAAATATTTACAAAGATCAGTTACAAGACAAGCAGCAGATCGACTACATATAGCCAAAACTTTTAAATCCTTCGAACTGCTCAGTGTGCATAGTCACATAGCGAAAGTGCCATTCAATTCAAACATACAACTTGGAGAGAAATCTACATATAACGTGGTCAACATTACTCCATTCTTTCGCTTAAGGTTTTACAGAATTGAATCAAACGTATTTGGGAGGTTGTTCTTTTAAAAAAAGCTACCAAAAGGATAGTGAACAGAATACCTGATGAATATTACTTGTACGATATCCTTACTCAGACTAACAAATCAGAATTATGCTTGACTGTGAAGATGTCTCCAATAATCTGTCACTAAAATGAAGCATTCTGTCATGATTACTATATGATAACTTACTTCAGCGAATGTTACCATGGCATTGTTTTAATGACCTAATTAGGAAGTAACTTCCATAATAGTATAAATAGGCGGTCATCGTATCAGTCAGCCATTACTGTACATTTGACTGGATTTTACGGCAATGCAGATATTTGTCAAGACATTAACAGGAAAGACTATTACTTTGGAGGTCGAGCCCAGTGATACGATCGAGAATGTGAAGGCGAAGATCCAAGACAAAGAAGGCATTCCTCCAGACCAACAACGTTTGATTTTTGCTGGTAAACAGTTGGAAGACGGTCGTACTCTGTCCGATTACAACATCCAGAAAGAGTCAACACTGCATCTGGTTCTCCGTCTGCGTGGTGGTATGCAAATCTTCGTGAAGACATTGACTGGTAAGACGATCACGTTGGAGGTTGAGCCCAGTGATACGATCGAGAATGTGAAGGCGAAGATCCAAGACAAAGAAGGCATTCCTCCAGACCAACAACGTTTGATTTTTGCTGGTAAACAGTTGGAAGACGGTCGTACTCTGTCCGATTACAACATCCAGAAAGAGTCAACACTGCATCTGGTTCTCCGTCTGCGTGGTGGTATGCAAATCTTCGTGAAGACATTGACTGGTAAGACGATCACGTTGGAGGTTGAGCCCAGTGATACGATCGAGAATGTGAAGGCGAAGATCCAAGACAAAGAAGGCATTCCTCCAGACCAACAACGTTTGATTTTTGCTGGTAAACAATTGGAAGACGGTCGTACTCTGTCCGATTACAACATCCAGAAAGAGTCAACATTGCATCTGGTTCTCCGTCTGCGTGGTGGTATGCAAATCTTCGTGAAGACATTGACTGGTAAGACGATCACGTTGGAGGTTGAGCCCAGTGATACGATCGAGAATGTGAAGGCGAAGATCCAAGACAAAGAAGGCATTCCTCCAGACCAACAACGTTTGATTTTTGCTGGTAAACAGTTGGAAGATGGTCGTACTCTGTCCGATTACAACATCCAGAAAGAGTCAACATTGCATCTGGTTCTCCGTCTGCGTGGTGGTTATTAATTTCCATTAACTATGATAATTTAAATATATTTCAGTTTTAATTTTAGTTTAGTCTGTCGTTCTCATTTCGTAGTTTTGTCTTTGCGTTTTGAGTTCGTCAGGTATTGTAGTGGTCTTGGTTCGCGCGTGGTTATGGTTTACTTGTTGCATATCGGTTGAGTTGGCGTGTACTCTCGTAAACCTAGGTGTGCGTTTTACTACAGGGTCTCCCGTTGACTTATATAGTTGTGGTGGAACGCAGACTATCACATATTGGTATCGGTGCTTATTGTATTGGTTGGAGTGATACACACGAAGGCAGGTGGTGTGTCCTCATTGCACTATCGTGGTAGTATTCGGGCGATTTCTAGTTATTTCTCAGTGTGGTAGAAACGATCATGTGGGCACTAATCAGTTATGACAGTATGTTACGTATTGATCGCAATGTAGTATTAGTCTCGCCCCACTTCTGGTACTCTGGTTTAGCAGGCTAGTAACAGAGTTATGGTATGTTTCTCTCTATTGGCTTCCTCTACAAACCAGGTAAGGGTATAGCATCTTAGCTGCAATTAGTTGGTGGGAATTTATCTACTGGGGACAGACAGTGCTATGGTCGGTGGCAATGATATTGTCTATTTAGTCCATTTTATTATGACACGCGGCAAGTTCGTAAGAGATATTCCTGCAAAAATGTGTGTTAATTTCATACGGTTATGCTATAACCAACTCATGTATGTCGTATCCTAAATTAATTTCAGTGCAAATGTTTTATAGGTTTTGTTTTGTGTTCATTTTATTACTGCTCATATTGAAGTAGTGTTTCATAAAGTGCAGAGAACAATTCGCCATAATTTGTATTTACTTCACGTAAATTAATTGTATAGCACATTGTTATTCACTATTTGAACACGAGTTCATCCTCATGTGCATTTTATTTCAACTTGTGTAGATGAATTACTTTGTAATTGTACTTAAATGAACCATTCGCAAAAGCAAAAGTAGGTCGTCCCAACTGTATCGAGTCGTGTCAAATCGAATTAGTAGTTCGCGTGTTGGAACTCTAGGTAGAGGTAGCATTCAAGAATCTGACTCGAGTTTGGTTTACTTTATCCAAACTAACCAAGGGAACCAAATGTATGAAATTGTACACTAGTGTCGCACTTAGCATTTCCTAACTTTCCATGGTCTATATTGATACTGAGTAATACTGCTTTTGTTGATGAGGTCTTCGTAAAGCTAGTTTAGGCAGTCTCAATAGGAGTATTTCTATTCATTCGCATATTGTACTTTATAAAGATTTTATATTCTTAAGTCAAGATGTCTTTGGTTTCCGACTAACTATTCATCCCATTAGAAACATATAGGAATGTGATAACATGTCAAGAGGCTGCAACTCATACTTGCGATATGCAATACCGTGGAGGAGTAGACTAGAAGTGGTGGAACTCTTACTTATTCTAGAAAGCAGTTTCACTGACTCTGCATTCGATGGAACGACATATAGACAAATACAGTTCAGTACTGGTTAATCGGCATTAAGGCATTGGCCATTCAAATGATTATATCTAGAATAATGGAATGGTTGATTTAGTGTGCATCAAGATTGATAACTGGGAACAGTTGCCTCCAAAGCCTCAGGATGGTCGGGGGTGGGTGCCTTGCGCTGCTGGTTGGCCACCCCTCCGCACACCTCTTGAAATCCTCCCATATGACCGGGCGTCTTACATAGCCTCTCCTGAGGAAGTCCTACTCACTGCCTTCACGTGGCGGAGGTGTTTTTCACCAAAGTGAGAGGGCGAAAGCGGATGCCCGGCGCTCTTCACCGGGTTGACTGTCCATTGGATGACAGTCTAGGGGAGATGGCTAAACCCTGATTCCAAACCTCCAACGACTGGCGTATGAAGCTCACTGGAGCTCACCGGCAGACGTATGGACAAAGGGCTTGTCGGATGTCTGGCCCCATTCAAAAGGCGTATGAGCCGAACTCCGGTCACCGGCTGCCAATGGATAGTGGACTCCCTACTCCACTCCTACTGCCTTGTAGGTCACACTTGGTTGTGTAAAGGCTAGAGCTGCACTCTCAAACAAAAGGCCGAGCGATTCTGGGGACATCACTCGTACCAAATTCCCATGAAACTTCATGAACTCATGTTTATGAAGCCGGCTCATCCTTCCGTAGGAGATAGCCGAAGTAAAGTAAAAGTAGTAACAGTTGCTAGCGTCGACTCACAAATACTAGTATTCCACGAGTAATGTATTAGGAAACCCATAAAGATTGTATGACATGAAATACTATGTTCAGTAACAACTTAGGCTATCGAGTATGAATGTACACCGGTCTTTGTTGTTTCTTTCCTCACAGGAAGTTTCAATGGCTTAGTGACGTAACGATTTGAAATAAATTATCAACGTAATAATAGTAATACCGTTTATGTCTGTTCATACATGTTAAAATCGCTAGGAATAATATGTTCGAATCTTAGTTCTAGGGACAGAATTCTGAGGCCATTTCTGAATTGCTAGTTGATTATGCTATGTAATTAGTGTGAATCTGTAATTCATTGGTTTCGGCTTCCGACCTGTTCTAATTACTGTGGTTTAGGCTACCAAGTAATGGCATCAGTTTTCATGAAATAAACGTGGTGGTTATTTGCTAGGTACATACTGTAGTTCCAGGCTGCTTATTACTATGTTTTTTATCAGTTTCTCTTCCTAATTTTTGTGACTTTAATTATATTCCTCATGGGTGATACTTCTCAACTTTAAAGATTACATGGCTTATTAAACAAATACTTGACCTTATTTATTGAATTAATTCGCCTACATATCCTAAATGGTGTTCGTCTTACTTGGAATCAACGTTTGAGTGATTGGAAACCAGTCGTTCACTTATGCAGATACAGCTTTCAAACATGTGCTCGTAAATTCTAGTACTGCGCAGTCCTATTGAATTTCTAGATTCTGTTATTTCATGTAAAAGTTTACATGTACGCAGCCTAAATGTGAAATATGTGCTAACGGTATCAAAGTATTAGTATCCTTATCTTAACTATCTCAGTTATGCTCAAATAATTAGACCTATATATGTTATTCATTGTGTTTGCTGAAAAGGACTTATTTTACTAAGTATTATCATAAATAAGGGGGGAAGTACTGTTAGATCGAATTATAGATGACAATCGTAATTAACTCTTCAATCAATAGAACATAGAATCCAGCCTTACAAAATTATGGTTGTTGGGAAAGTAAGCTAATACCACTGTCTGGAAGCTGGTGTGGTTTATTGCTAAGTATGCATCTACTGGATCCAGATATGCACACAGATGCCAAGTAAATCTATTCAGTTTCATTTCACATGATCAGGCGATTTTTTATGAGAAATGCCTCTATATAACAGAACTTTTGGTATATGCGTATATATATATATATATATATATATTGTGTGTGTGTGTGTGCGTGTGTGGATTAAATACTAACGTCTTACAAATGTCAGTAGGAAATTCAGGCTATTCATCTGTCTTACCTCTGGTGTTTCCACTCAGATGCTAACAATATAACAGACGCTTGAAGAAAACCAATGTTTCTAGGAGTTTCGACACTACTCCACTATCAACGCTGTTGAAGTCTTTCAAAATTGATGAGGTAGAGGGTTGACTCCCCTGTTCGATGACGTTTTTCCTGACTCCAAGAGGACTTTCTCATCTATAATATCTTTTAATCTTTCTAGGATGATGCAACTTAATATTTTGCTTGGCATAGATAGCAGCACTATCCCGTGCCAGTTTTTGAAGAAGTTTATGTCTCCCTTCTTTGGTAGTTTCACAAAGTAGTCTTTGTTCTAATCAGTAGGTAGCTTTTTTCCCTTAAAAGCAACAACAATGGCGTGAACACATACACTGAGGTCTCTGAATCCATTTTCGATGCTTCCTGAGGCATTTTGTTTGGTCCTGCTTCTATTTCAGCCTTCAATAACTTCATTGCATTCAAGATTTCTGCTTTTGTCGGAGGACCGGTGTTCACTGGCACTTCTCTGTTAGATGGTAGTGGTATTTCTTAACGGGTTGCAGATGGTAGTCAAATCAAGAGTCCGTTGAAGTGATGGCCTCAGTGTTTCCTTTATCTAACCGCTTTGGTAATTGGGTCTCTTTAGAAGTCTTTCACTAGCTTTATCTGAGTTGATCTCATCCTAGATACCGGCCTGTTTCCCTTCAGTTGTCAGTGTGTTTTGAAAAAAATTTTGTCTTTTCACCCCTGTCAGCTTCCAGATGTTTATAGAGAGCCATTCTTTCTCTTACCTCTTCTCGCTGCCTCACATTTATACAGGTTTCTTTTTATGCCGCTTTAAAAGAGTTCCTGCGTCCTTCTACTCTGATTTTCTCGGTGATGCTGCTTGAAGTCTCCAATTTTATCGTGATAACTTCTGCAAAGGTTTCATTTGTAGCTTTCCCTTTCACTTTTTAACTATTGAGCTTGAATTATGATCTATCTGCAGCCTCTTTCGGGGCTTACAACTTGATCTGGAAGAGTTCGTGTTCGAGATGATAATCTGATACTACATCTACTCCTCTTCTCGATCTTATGTCCACTAAGCTGTATCCTCAATTTCAATTGCAACAAATAAAAATCACGACAGCCTATCTATCAAATGTCACTTCTACCTTGCCATCTATGCTTGTCACGCCAACCACTTATGGCTAAACTATATGCGTCTGTTATTTTGATCTCTTTATGTACTTGTAAATGTGACTCATTAAACATTTTGTTTCACCCATCAATACTGTTTGGTGTATTCCCACCTTTGCTTGAAGGACAATTATTTTGTATTTATAGCCTTTATATGATGGTACTACTTTTATGATTCAGAAACAAATAAAGTTTTAAGCTAGGCAGGTTACCTATGTTTTAACTTTTGTAAAACCCCATTCTGTGTTGTCAGTATTGAAACCTGTAAACAATTCAACCCAACATCTAATTTCTTGAGATTGAGATGAAGTCTATCTGTCTTCCAATAAGTCCATCTC